TTGTGGAGCTTTGTGCAAGGTAAATGTTTACACTGATGAGACTTATTCTGTGTCTTTGATTATTCTCAGAGCCATCCACTAGGGATGACCACCGTTTGACCAAGGCTGCTTGCGTTTGGTGGGCAGGTTGGTTCTCTTGGCTTACTCTTACTCCATAGGCTTTTTTCTTCACCGGTTACAGCTTCCAGGGAGCCCCATAAACTACGTGATTTTCCTGTTTGCAGCTGGAGAGTGCTTTTGCGGTACGTTTATTTATGCAAGTGGAATTCCAGCAACCCTGCAAAAACTCTTAAGACTGGATGCCTGCCATGGCACTCCTGGGCGGAGGTGATATGAAAGAAAACAAGAACCACAGGGAATGGGGGCAGGTTGGAGATAAATCATAAATGCAGCTAAAATGAAATCCTATAGGTTAGGATTTGCTAACTGCCGTATTCATTGATCAGCTTGTTAAATTGAGTAGCAAAAACATACAGCTTTATGTTTGTCCAGTGATTTGGGAAATTGTGGCTATCATCTGTTGTACTTCGACTGGATTAAATTGAGAATTGTTACAAACTTGGATATGAACTTGTAAAGTGAGACCAAACCACTTTCAATATTCTTCTGTAAAACAAAGTGATATTGATCTGCCTGGGTGAGTTTTTTTCTCTAGGAGCTTCTGATAAATAATTGTAGCAAAGGCAAAAAGTAACAGTGAGTTAATAAAAAAGTAACAGTGAGTTAATAGAACTAATGCTGGGATTGAAATGTATTCTTCTTTTAGTTTACCTTTTTTAAAAAATTTGTTTTAATAAAAAAATTTTGGGGGAAAAAGCAAAACAAAATCATTTCCAGTTTGTGCAGTTAACCATTATTAACATTTTAATGCACAGACTAAATATTTGTGGGGTTTTTTTTTTCTGTAAACAAATGAAAATGTGGGTGGTTTTAATTTTTTTCCACCCTAAATGGGATCATATTACATATGCCACCCCTTTTTTTAAAAGATAATTTACAGTAGTCCCCCCTTATCCACGGTTTCGCTTTCTGTGGTTTCAGTTACCTGTGGTCAACCACAGTCTGAAAATAGTAAATGGAAAATTCCAGAGATAATTCCTAACTTCTAAATTGTGCACCATTCTAAGTAGCGTGATTTGAAATCTCACGCCACCCGCCCAGGACACGAATCACACCTTTGTCGAGCATATCCGCGCTGTACAGGCTGCCTGCCCTTTGGTCACTTAGCAGCCTCCTCAGTTACCAGATTGGCTTCCGCGGTATTGCAGTGTGTCTGTTCAAGTAACCACTGTTTGACTCAGTAATGGCCCCCAGACACAAGAGTGTCGATGCTGACAGTTGTTAATCTCTTACTGTGCCTAATTTGTATATTAAACTTTATCATAGATTTCTATGTATAGGAAAAAACATAGTATAAAATTCAGTACTGTTTGCAGTTTCAGGCATCCGCTGGGGGTCTTGGAACGTGTTCCCTGCGCATGAGGGGGAACTTATTGAGCATCTGTGGTTAAGTGCTCGGCAGATAACTGAAAGGTCAGCAGTTTGAACCCATCAACCACCTTGCATGAGGAAGATGTAGTAATCTGCTTCTGTGAAAATTACAGCTTTAGAAACCCTATGGGGCAGTTCTACTCTGCCCTCTACGGTTGTTATAAGTCAGAATCAACTTGAAGGCAATGGGTTTGGTTTTGATTATTATGTACTATTCTTAAAGGACAGATTTGGCCTTAAAGAGTTCACCACGCTAAAGGAGAGGTGGGTTGGTTTGTTGATTTTAAAATTACCAAACCATCATGGAAATTTTTACATGTTTAATACAGACATAATTATGACCCCACGGTATTCCATTGTATACACGTACTATCAATAAACTTAATTCCCTATTGATAGATATTTAGAGTGGTTCCTATTTTTTTATATAAATAACATTGTAATGAATATCTTTGATTGTTCACTTGCTTATTTCTTTAGGATATATGTATAAAATTAGAATTGTTGAATCAAAGAGTGCTCTTTTGTTTTTTAATTGTTTTAGTTTATTTCCCATTTCAGTAGTGTTCATTCCTTTTTTGGATTTTAAAAGTCAGGTTTCTTCAATCACTGAATACATAAAGATGGGTTGGCATTTAATTTTACAGTTTAGCATAGAGTTAAGGATTATTTTATTGGAGTTCTTGCCTTTTTGTTTTTAAATATTTTTATTTTAAATTCTGTAATATTTCAAGCATACTGAAAAGATAAAATATAGTATCATGGTCATCCATGGACTCATCAACCTGGTTTAAGTTCTTCAACATTTTGCCATGTTTGTTTCATCTTTACTTCTTTTTTAAGTGTGGGATAAAATGTTCTAGATATAGCCAGTCCTGTCCTTCTTCCCCCCTTGCCTAGAGGTAACCACAACCCCAGTGTTACCATGTATCATTCTCATGTATGTTTTTATACTTTTGCTGCATATGTATATCTATAAACAATTTGTTTTTGTGTTTTAAAACTTACATTAATGCTGTTATACTATACCTGACGTTTTACAGCTTTTTTTTACATCATTTTGGTATTTATCTAAGACAATGTAAAACACCAAAAAACCTGTTGCTGTCGAGTCAGTTCCGACTCATAGTGACCCCGCAGGACAGTGTACAACTGCCCCCTGGGGTTTCCAAGGCATGGCTGGTGGATTCCAGCTGCCGACCTTTTGGTTGGCAGCTGAACTCAACCACTGCACCACCAGGGCTATTGTGTACACTGCCTCTGAAATACACTCTTTGGTTGCCTTTCCTAATAGAACGCAGATCCTAGTTTACCATCTTGTTTTGTTTTAAACTTTGATTGTTAATCTGGTCAGTTGTAAAGCTTGTGTACATACATACCACCTCCCCCTAGAGCCTTTAGGGTCCTCAAGCAGAGTTCTGTGTCTGAGTTATCTTCGTATTCCTGCTTTAGTGCCTCCACAGAGATGGTGCTAAGCTCGGTGTTCTGAACTCAGAATGCCCCTGTTCTAGTAGCCGTGTGAAGCCTAACCACCATGTGTAACAGTTTAGGTGTGAGCATGGTGTTTACAGTTCCAGCTGTAATGTCAGGAGCGTGCCTCACGGTAGGTAGGGATCCCCCTCTCTTACTCCTTGGGTGCTGACCTCTCTAGTGCCCGGAGACCAAGGGCCTGAGGCAGAGGGTCTAAGAGGACTGTTCCATGGGTGGGTCTGCACAGACGTTCTACTAGATGAACACCCTAAGACTTTTTAAGCTAGATTAGTTTCTTATCATACTTTCTCCTTTTTTTTGACTCAGAAGTGAGCCTGCCTGCGTCCTTTTCTCCTGCCCTACTTACTCCACCTCCCCCTGAGCTTGGTACTTACCTCTCCCCCTCTTTGTTTTCTTCCACGTAGACCCTGTATGGAAGGTATGACTGGTGGTAACTCCATCTCCTGCAGCACAGTCACCTGGGGTGCTTGTTAAATGCAAATTACTGAGTCCCACCCTAGACCTGGAGCCCTGGTGGCACAGTGCTTGAGAGCTGGGCTGCTAACCTAGACCTACTGAATGAGAATCTCTGGGTGACAGTCAGTCCAGTGATGTGTATGTTTGTAACTTTTTATTATGGAAAATTACAAACATACGCAGGTGTGGTGAGAATAATGCGGTTCACCCCTTGTGCCTATCGCCAGCGATAACAACCATCGATTCCTGACCACTTCTGTTTCATCTTGCGTCCTACCCCCACCCCCAGTTACTTGAAAACAAAGCACAGATAGCTTTTTTTCTGTAGATAACTTCATCATGTATTTCTAAAAGGATTCCATTGTTTTTTAACAGCAGTGTGTGTTTCCTCAGTTGATTTTGAAAATTTTCAGAAAAATTGTGATAGTAAATACCTCTGTATGCTTTACCTAGGTCTCCCACTTCGCCTGATTTACTTTATCTCACTGTCTCTGTATGTTTTATAAACTTTTTTTGTGAAGTCATTGAAAGTAAGTTGAGACATGACAATTCACTTCTAAATACTTCTGCTTATTTCTCCTAAGGGCAGTGACATTCTCCTCCATAGTGACAATACAAAATACTGTGCTTTCTAGCTTCCTTTTAAAAATCCAGGATCCACACAAAGATGATACATTACATTTAATCTGGAGCAGTTCCCGGTCTGTTTTTATTTTTTATTTTTTTAATCTTTTATGACAATGATTTTTTTAAGAATACAGGCCATTTCCTTTGTTTGGCAGATTATCCCTGAATTTAGATTTGTTTTGTTTTATCATGACTAGATACAGTTTACACATTTTTGGCAGAAATAATCTGTGGGTGATAAGTTGTTCTTAGGATATGGCGTATGTCAGTTTGTCCATTATTGGTGATCTTTATATAGTTGATCACCTGGTTAAGGTAACATCTGCCAGAGCTTCTCATTGTAAAGGAGTACCTTGTCCCTGTGCAGGTAATCACCCACTGGCGATTCTTGCCTGAATCAGTTATTACAGTGTGGCTTGTCTTAGAGCTAGGTGTCGTTAGGTCCACAGAGGGCTAAAGTAAGGGTCACCTGCCCTTGACTAGAACACCTAGTCTTAGTTTCTTGGGCATTGTGTTATTAGAATAGGTATGTGGGTAGAACTAGGGAGGTACAAGGCTAGGAATATTATTTGTGTGGTATCAGAGGCTGTGGGGCGTAGCTGCGTGTTTAGAGTGGCAGCATTACAAGACTCCTGTCAGCTTCCACCATCATTACAGCCCTGCAATGGGGTTGTAAAGGACTGGAGCCAGGGAATAGGAGCTAGGGAAATCCCAGCATCGTGGCTCTAAGGGAATGTGGAGCTCTTGTGGCTGCTTGCCTGGGGCCGTACCACCCGCTTGGCCTTTGCGTGTGAGAGACCTACATCAGCTGGTGTAGACTGGAGACTGCTCCTGGGTCCACCTGACTGTGTAACTTCCACGGGAATCTGCAGAGAGGGTCACGTCAGCTCAAGTCTGTCATCAGATTTGCTTCTGACAGAGCTTCTATTTTCCAGTGGGTGAATTTGTAAGCGATGTTCTGCTAGTTCCAGAAAAGTGCCAGTTTTTCCACAAGGAGCGGATGGAGGTGTGTGAGAACCACCAGCACTGGCACACTGTCGTCAGGGAGGTAAGTGAATGGCTGGGGAAAACGTCAAGCGTTGCTGGATCCGCTAGGGAAGAAAGTAGTGTTTTCCTCCAAGTCTCACCACGCCTTTAAATTACCCCCGCCCCCCCCGCCATTTCTTCAGGGTTGGCATTTGCTTGTATCTTCTGGATTATAAACATTCAAGGGAGGAATAGATATTCTTACAGGAAGTCCAGGGTGGACAGTCCAGCTCGTAAAGCAGATTGTTTAGCAAGGATGCTGCGTGCTGTCATCAGGGTCCCAAGGAAGCCACCCGAATCCCTAGAGCTGTGTGGAGGTAGCCACTTAAGGACTAATGTTCCTGGACACATAGACAGGATAGGCTGTCGTTTCTTTCTGGGATAACTTCTCTTTCTTAACTCTTGTCTTGTGTGGTTAAGTCAGTACTCTGTCTCTGGCCAAATTCTGAAGCAGTGTCTGCTCCTGTGATGAATGTGAATTATTGCCAGCCATCTTTAACTGGTGTTGATCATTACTAGAAGAAACTCCTTAGTTTTCTCCAACTTCGGGCCTTCAGTGTATTTGTCCCCCAGATGGTGTTTCTCTATTGTAAATGAAAAAATTTATAAATCTTCTAAAAATAATAGCGCCACAACTTTTTGGCAGAAAATTTGTTATGTCCATAAGAGAAAGCCTTACATAATGATTTGATAACAGTTTCTTTGGGGTAAAGCTAGGGGTCAGGGAGCATTTGACCCTGTTTTCTGTGGCGTATGTTCTCACCTTGGTCTCTGGATATCTTTTAGGCCTGTCTGACCCAGGGAATGACCTTACACAGTTACGGCATGCTGCTGCCCTGTGGGGTAGACCGGTTCCATGGCACTGAATATGTGTGCTGCCCCCAGACAAAGATCACTGACTCCACTGTGTCGAAAGAAGAGGAGGAGGAAGAGGAGGATGATGGAGACGATGACTATGATATTTACAAAAGGTAAACTGTCTCCAGCCCATGTAATCATCTCACCTCAGTGGCTCCTGCTGCTCGTCCCTCACTCTGGAGGGGATGTGGGTGTTCCCTGTTCCTGCTGGCAGTTGAGGCAAGCCAGCTTGCAGTTCTCTCAGCCACAGCTGATGGCAGAAGTACATGGCTGTCAGCTTGACATTGCCCTGGGCCACGGTATTTTCTGCAGGTTGTGCAGTCTCTGGCCGCTCGCTCTTCTCTTTTGCTGATGTAGCTGAGCTGAGGGCTTTAGTGGCAGTTAAATGTGAGTTGAGCTTGTTTCCTGTCTCTGTTTTTGTGTTTCAAAATAGGCAAGGGAATCATTGTTGTGCATTGTCATAGGAATTGGCATCAGCCTTCCCTTTTTATTGTGGTCTGTAGTGAATTTCCGACTGAAGCAGATTTGGAAGACTTCACAGAAGCAGCTGTTGATGAGGATGACGAGGATGAGGAAGAAGGGGAGGAAGTGGTGGAAGACCGTGACTACTACTATGACACCTTTAAAGAGGATGACTACAACGAGGAGAGCCCCACTGAGCCCAGCAGTGATGGGATTATTTCCGAGAAGGAAATTACCCAAGATGTTAAAGGTAACCCGACGTAGAGCCGTGGCCTTAAAATCCATGTGGTAGCTACTTACTTAGAGCTTGGTGCTGTGTTTTTACAGGTAAGTCACAGAAGGAAAGGTGGTGTTGCCACGCATTGGAGGTGATTCAGCTCTCCAGTGCATGGGCATACCTTCTTAGCATTGGCGGGCAGGCCCTCTGCAGGGCGTGTGGCAGTTAACACACCCAGGGAGAGGGACAGAACTGAATCAGAGTATCGTTTGCCATGTAAAGATTTAGTCAGAGAACAGAGACTAGAGAATAAGAGATACCATAATCCACCTTTCGGCATGCTTCTTCCCCATCAGCCTGGTATCTTCTCTTCCCGAAGGGAGCTGCCCCTGTTTAGTACTGCTAAAGTGTCGGCTTTGTAGAAGGAAAATGCCTTCCTTGCTATTTTCTTTCCTGAATGTGTTCCAATCTGTAGGCTGCCCTATTTGTCCATTAGAAAGGTGTTTGTAGGTGGGAAGATGAAATTTTATGATCTTCTAGTAAGGGAGTAGGGTCAGCAGTGTTTTTCATCTTGTCAATTTGAAAAAAAAAAAGAAGATTGCATAGTTCCAGTACCACTTACAGAGTCTCCTGCTGATTGTATGTTTGAGGACGGTTAAGATTTGAAGAATTATTTAGAACCCATCTTGGGGAAAATTCCTTAGTGAGTCTAGAAGTTTGCCATTCACCTTGGAGAAGATAAAAACTGGGAGCCCTCATCCTTTCTGGCTCCTTAAGCATTAAGTAGTTGTCACAGCTTAAAACAGCAGTTCCAGCTGCACTGGCCCCTTTATACTGGGGAACCACAAGTTGGACAAATCAGGCAAATACCGCCATGTACAGATCAGGAACGGGAGGCTCAGAGAGCACATATACTAGGCCAGACTCGGGACAGTGTAAAAAAAAATACGTGTTTTCTGCTGCAAAATGTCCTTTTGCACATCCGAGTGGGGAGTGGCTGGCCAAGTTGGTGAGTGAGTTAGCCAGTGCGTTGGCTTCTGGCGTTAAGTCTCTCCCCTGGCATTTCCCCCTCGCCCCGTCCCTCCCGTCTGCCCCTTGCTGGTCTGTAGCATTTTGAAGCATTTGAAGCCACTGCTGATGAATATTCTGACCATTTTCACACAGCTGTCTGCTCCCAGGAGGCGATGACCGGGCCCTGCCGGGCCGTGATGCCTCGTTGGTACTTCGACCTCTCCAAGGGAAAGTGCGTGCGCTTTATATATGGCGGCTGCGGAGGCAACAGGAACAATTTTGAGTCTGAGGATTATTGTATGGCTGTGTGTAAAACGATGAGTAAGTCCCGCCTCACGCTGGCTCTGTGCAGGAGCCACTGTCCTGTCCAGCGTTCTGTCTCTCCGGCCGTCCTCGTGACCGCATCTCTGTAGTGTCCCTGCTGACTTGGGTTGCTGTCAGTCGTTCCCCTCACCTTTGTGCTTCCTAGAGCTGGGCTTGGCCCCCTTCGGTGGATGTGCGGTCAGGTTCCATGTGCCCATTCTCACTGTGTGTCTGGCTGCTGGTGGTGGTCCCTCCTTGGTGCCCTGGGAGCTACTTTGTGGTCTGGTTTGTGGTCCGCAGGCCCCTGAGCCTTTAGTGTTGGTTGGGTGCTCTTGGCTGTCTCTAGTGGAAAGGCACAAACGGGTAAGCAGATGAGCTGTGAGTTGTGCACATGCTTGTGTTCTGGGCTTTGCTGCACCTTCTTGTCTTTGAACTACCACTGCCACTGACCCCCAGTGCTGCACGCTGGCTAACAGGACTTCCTGTTCTCTAAAGTGACAACAGGGCTAATTTTGGGAGATGGCTGTGCAGCCAAGTGGTATCGGCTTGTTTTTCTTGATGTTTTGGCAGCACTAGGTCCTGCTGCCCTCTGGGGAGTGGGCGAGGTTTCGTTTGGGCGTCCTTTGGTCACAGAGGAAATTCAGTGGCTCAGCTGAGTTGGGTTCACGTCAGACACAGGGAGGAAGACGGTTTTCCTTTCTCCTTAGTTACCTCTTTTCCTTTTTCTCGTTGTCTGACCTTGCATACTAGCCCATGTGTTTGTAAATCCTCAGGGCGGGCAGGCTTTTCTTGGCTCCTCCTCTGGAATTTCATCCGAATTGCTGGTATTGGCTCCAACTGTTTTGGCTGTAGCTTCTCATGGCTTTTGATTCAAATACCTGTGTGTTTCCTTTTTCCTCACCCTGCCAAAAGATATTTTACATCTTAAGATGGTGTACTTCCAGCACTTTTAGCTACTGCTCTGTGGAAAGCTATTTTTATTTGGCTGAAAAGTTGAAATAAAATGTGAGACTTTAGGGAGCTTTGGTGGCAGAAACTCCGTCTATTCTGGAAGGATTTAGAGCTAGGAACGCTTACGTTGATGACGTTTACTACTTTGTAAAACTACGCAAACTGAGAGTCAACAAAACACTGTTTTAGGCTGAACCCTGAGGAATCAGGAATCTTGAAGAATCTCACCGGTGACCTTCTTCACGCAGAGGGGCAGATAGGTAGTGATGTAAGACAGGATGGAACGGGACAGGCATCGTCAGTTTTGAAGTCTGCAGAGTTGTTGTTTCCGGTAAATTGCCGTATTAGCGTGGACTGAGGGTTGAGGGAGATCTGCCAGAGAGAATCAGTGTGTTCACGTCCTTGTGGGAGCCCCAGCTAGAGTGCTTTGAAGGCGTGGAAGCATCGCCGCTGTCAGGGGTAAAGTTTGTGTCCTCCGTGAGGAGGGCAGGGAAGGCGTGCTGACTTTGTGAGCAGTCACTTTTCATAGGGACAGAGGGATGTCCCTAGGTCTGAGCCCCACCGTGCCTGCAGAACCAAACCTCTAGGCATGCTGCCCCTCTTCTCTTTCTGCTAGGGAAGGTGGTGGCAGCTTGTGTTTTGTGTGATGCTTTATCCAGCCTAGAGCTGTCAGTCAAAGGCTCCACCCCCAGTACACAGGCCTCCTGTGATGGCGACAGGAGGGTGGACACTCGTGGGAGGTAGTGCTTTGAAATTTACTTCCCTTAGCTTCTGCGTGTCCTGGGAATTTGTTTTGCTAAGCAAGTATGCTCTAATGTAGTTCATCTGAAAGTTGGATATTGAAGTCCTATTTAAATGTACGTAGGAGTCGAATAGTCCTCACAAAATTATAGTTGTACCTTTGAGGTTTATATAATAAAAGGGGGATAAATAAAAAAAGTTTCTGATAAAAACTTTGGAGTAGCTTACTTAATTTACAGCAGTATTGGTTAGTTGTACAGTGGTTTTAATGTTGTATTCAAATTATGCAATTCTGGAAATTAGGTGAACTTGTTTCTGAATGAAAATGACCTGAATTTTGGCATTAGTTCTCCACTTAGCTCTGAAATTCCGTGAAGATGTAGTAATTAATCTTGGGAAATGGTGAATGAGTTGGGCTAATAAGAGTTTCCATGGGTATTTCTTGTGAGGTTGACTAAGTCAATCCATCATCTCAGTGCTTTCCTTTAGGATGGTAAGCTCCACTGTACAGATACTCATTTGCCTGGGGCCAGAAGTAGTTTCTGTGTGAGCAGCAGTGGGGAGTGTTTATTTTCCTGGATTTTGTTCTCTGTTAATGGCCTGAGAAGGCCAATCAGTGTAATGGATTGAAAAGCACAAAGCATCTTCACACAGTGTTAAGTTGTCCTTGGAAAATACAGCACCTTAGTTTGATCATTTTTATTGGAGATGGGGCCAAGAGTCCCTCAATGATACTGAAAACTAAAAATTATGGCTAGAGTGGTTTAGCCTTTCTCCACACCCAGCCTGTAAGCAGAGAACATTCAGTGGAACCCGTTTCCCAAAGTTAAGTTGTGACCTAAAAATAGCCAGGAGAAGGTGCTCCTGAGAATGGAGAGTTTGTGGAAGTACCTTTGCCGGGTCTGTCTGCAGGCCTCGTCTCTGTTCAGGCGCTTCAGTGACAAGTGGTAAGGTAGCTATTTTTTCAGACTTTTACGGTTTCAAGAACTGAAGGGAAGGGAGAGAAGAAGCAATTTCCTTTTCCACCCTGAAGTTTTAAGTAGATGTCTCCCTGGTGCTGAAGATACCAGGTGGTTGACCTACCAGTAAATTGCTGTATTAGTATGGACTGACGTGGTTGATGAGTTTTATGGAAGGAATATTGCCCACTGTGATCTCACAGAGTAGAGTCTTGGCAGACAGCAGGGCCCTGTATTTTTAGCACGATACAAGATAAATGTAGTCCATTTTGCAGGTCCTGAGCTCGGTTTTCTTCCCAGAGCACAGATGCCTGGCCCTCAAAAAAGAGAACTTTCTCTGTAATTTTATTTCAGTTCCCCCAACTCCTCTGCCAACCAACGATGTCGATGTGTATTTCGAGACCTCTGCCGATGACAATGAGCATGCCCGCTTCCAGAAGGCCAAGGAGCAGCTGGAAATTCGGCACCGCAACCGAATGGACAGGGTAATCCTGACATTTCTCCATATGGTATTTGGCATTGGGTAACATGGTTTTCACAACTGCAGAAGAGCGGAATGTCATGGTGGCTGTGCTGGGAAAGGTGAGAGGTCAGAGCATAGGTAGAGCTACCTGCTGGTCCTGCCTCCATGATGGTGTAATTAACCTTAAGTGCTTATCACCTTCCAACCATTCTGCTTAGCACTTCCTGTAACTATTAGGTACTTATTTTCTTTGCCATTAAAACTAGGTGCTGTCAACAAGTCAGTTCTGACTCATGGCAACCCCATATGTGTCAGAGGAGGACTGTGCTCCGTACTCACCTTTTAAAAAATGCGTTTCGGTTGTAAATAGGAAGTTAACACCATTTGTCATAAGAAGAAGGTAGTTGTAAAAATATATTAGGTGGAAAGCAAACGTATTCATCAATTCTAGCTAGATGCTGTTGCCTGGTGAGGCTTTGCACCACGGGGACGTTTTCTCTTCCCTGAAAAGGGTTCGTAAGTGGTAGAGAGGTGCTGGTAATGGGAGCTTCTCCTTGACTTACTCAGAACGACTGAGCGAAAATTGGAAAGGGGAATACCTTGCAGTGTTACTTCATGCTCGGTCTGAGTACCCCCTAAAATCCCACACATCTTCGCTGCTATGCCAGTACTTTGGGAAATGCTCTTGTTTCATCCGCACCAATTCTGAGAAGTAAGCATTAATCCCATTACTTTGGTGAGGAACAGAGACTTTTAAATAACTCAAGGTTAAATAAATAGGAGGTAATGGGCTTGAGGTTCCTTGTGAGTCCTCATTGAGACCTGAGGCCTTATGAGGCAAGAGCTCTGCGAACGAGCTGAAACAGCCCTGAGCTCCTAAGGATCATATGATGCAGTTCCCTTTTGCGGAATTTCCTGCGTTAGATCCACTGCCTGGCAATATTTTTAGAAAATTGAGGCATTGTTTTAGGGGGTTGTTCTCTGACTATAGTGGGTTTTTGTGGTTTTTTTTAAAGTATAGTTTATTTTATTCTTGTTGTTGAGAACCTGATAGTAGTGTTTCTGACCTTCGTTCTAGGTAAAGAAGGAATGGGAAGAGGCAGAGCTTCAAGCTAAGAACCTCCCCAAAGCAGAGAGACAGACGCTCATTCAGGTGTGACACATTCCCCAGGGACACAGCTGCCAGCTTGGTCCTTTGAAAATATGGTCAGAGCCAAACTCACAGGAAATTAGAATTTGACACCTCCTTTTAGCTGAGGACTGTGTTACAAGGAAGTAACTGGCCTGCTTTTTCTTCTCACTTCCCTACTGACGTTCTCCAGCATTGCTCATCGGTAATAGAAGAAACCAACCCCACTAAAGCGCTGCTACTTCTTGCCAGGAAGTAATCTTAGCTTGGCTGCGTTTGTTAATTCCACTCTCCTGGCAGAAGTCCTCTGTCCTCTGTCATCTTCATTTTGTTTTTCAGCAGGACAGAATTTTGGGTTTTTTTTTCTTTTTACAGACTTAACTGAAAAGAGGGAGAAAATAAAGGTCTCTGATAGACGTTCATATCTAACTTTGTAAGAGTGTCACCTTAAAATCATAGCAGCAAATTGCATTCTCCTTGTCTAGGGGAGAGTGTTGATAGAGTAAGGATAGCAACTTACACTACTGGTTTGGGTCTCATAGAACTGATTACATTTTAAACCAGCTTGTTCATGTTAGCTAAAACCTGTCTCTCGTGATGTTACGACTCCATGGGAAGACCTTTGTGTTTCGTCATTCACTTAGAAAGTATGTTCCAGAGTTGTAATTTCTCTGTAAGCCGGTGCACCTTATGCAGGGAAATTTAGTTCAGCAGCGTTTAACTCCTACTGACGTCGGCCAGGTAGGTCACAGATAACTTGCTCTTTGTGACAGGAGGGTGAAGGTTTCTGTATAACCTAGCACCTTACTGGAAGAGGTTTCAGAATAGATGTCCTGTTGGTTTGTGGCTTCACGATCTGGCAGTCAGTGCCGTGCTCCGATGTGAAAGGACAGTATTGCTGTTGGCGGACTGTGCACAGAGCAGTCAGGCACTGGGTGGCAGCACTAGTAATTTCAGTTACGGAAATGCCAAGGGGCTTCTAAAACTCAGCGCTCACTTGCTCTCTTTAGATGAGAAAGTAGTTATCCTGACAGAAGTCAGATAAAATATCCTTTGGTCTCACCCTCGTGCCCCCTCTCTGAACCTGTCGCCTTCTTGCGCAGGCACTGGGCAAGCACCCAGGCCTGAAAGTCGCTTGCGTAGATGTCTTGCAGGTGCCACGAGTTACATGATGTCCCCCCTTCCCCGGTCTAGCACTTCCAGGCTATGGTTAAAGCTTTAGAGAAGGAAGCCGCTAGTGAGAAGCAGCAGCTGGTGGAAACGCACCTGGCTCGAGTGGAAGCCACGCTGAACGACCGGCGGCGAGTGGCTCTGGAGAATTACCTGGCCGCCCTGCAGTCGGACCCACCGCGGGTGAGTTGGGTTCTCAGTACTGCCTGCCTGCCCGAAGTGTGCATTTATGGAAGCAGTGTGTGACATACAGGTCTGTGAAAACTGCGTTTTCATGACAGGTTCTGGCAATACTTGAGGTAAAGAAGATTATGGAGAGAGAGGTATTATGTTGTTCTAGAATTTATTTATTATATAAGTTTAGCATTACACCCCTTTATGCCTGAATATACCACCTGTCGTATGAAAGTATCTTAACCTCGAGATATTGCTGGATAATTATCCAATTTTCTCTGCTAGCCTCACTTTCAAAGAATAAAAGGACACTTTCTTCCATGGATAAAGGCTTTTGAACCAGTTCCATTCTAAATAAGATTATGAAGAAAAGATGAACATATTTCATGTTGAAACTTTTTTTTTGTGCTAGTAGTCACACACTTTTTTATCACGTAACTTTAACCTGCCTTGCTTTGGGAGATGAGAGAGTATTGGAAAAGGCCTTCTGAAGTCAGCTAGTAAGATCTTTTCTGGGTGAGAAGAGACTCCCTAACTTTGTCAGAGGCTGAGCTAGGAGAAGAGGACAATGGACTAGACATTCTGAAAAGACTGTTAAGGAGCCAGTGCAACTTTGCCACTTGGTTTTTGGTATTTTGCCTAGAAAGATAGCTTCTTGTTCCTTAGTAAACTAAGAGCTCTTGAAAGGACAGCTTTCATTCTTGTGCCTAAGTGAGCTTTACACTCTCTAGTGAGTTTGTAAACTTTGTTTTCCTGCCTCTTTTTGACTCTAGTCTGGATGTTAAAATAGCTGACCTTTCTCCTGCAGCCTCACCGCATCCTCCAGGCCTTGCGGCGTTATGTCCGTGCTGAGAACAAAGACCGCCTGCATACTGTCCGTCATTACCAGCATGTGTTGGCTGTTGACCCAGAAAAGGCAGCCCAGATGAAATCCCAGGTATAGTAGACGTCATAGAAATGGCTCCCTGAAAGTGTTCCTAGTGGAGAGAGGTCGCTTTGACGAACGGTTGGGGGTGCTGATAGTTGTCTTATTGTTGTTAGTCCTCAGAAAGTCATGTCTGATTTCCAGAGACATTTGGCGCAATCGTTGGTTTTTGCAAGGGTCCTATGTACTACTATTAAAATATTGTTTCCATACTTTTTTTTTAATATCAAGTACTTTCTACTGAGGAATCCTTAGGTGGTGTAAACAGTTAAGTGCTCAACTACTAGCCAAAAGGCTGGCGGTTCAAACCCATCCAGAGATGCCGCAGAAGACAGGCCTGGCCATCGGCTTCCGCAAGGTCACGGCCTTGAAAGCCCCGTGGAGCACAGTTCTACTCTGACGGGCACGGGGTCGCCGTGAGTTAAAATTGACTCGATGGCAGCTAACACCAACTTTGTATTTAAACAGTTTCTGAAAGTTTGAGAATGCATTAGTAAATTGAAGTGATAAGTCAGTTTCCAGATCTATTTTTATGGCAGTTCTGATTTCGGGTACCACCAGAATTGATATTTAAAATCCTTGTCTAGGCAAGTATATTAAGCAGATGTTTAAAATTGGTCACACTTCTTCTTTTGTGCATTACAGTTTTTGTTAAGATGCTTTTACATCCCTGGATTTCGCCCTGTGCTGAGTCCAGCTTTATTTTACAGAAATTTGTAACAAATCTGTAGAGATCTGTTTCTGGCCCCTGTTTCTCATTTGTATTGTCCATATATTCACTTGAATTTTACTGCCTCATATTCATAGAAAATTAACTTGTCTACAAGACTGCTAGATTGCTTCTAAACCAGAAAGTCTAGTAGTTCAGCCTACTAAGTAGTTTTCTCAGAGGACCTTATAATAGCATGACTGATCTTACTTTACTTCCTCTCATATTTTAAATGTAATGCTGGGTTGACGGTGGAACCCAGCACACGTGGAATGCACTTAGAAGCATGGACACTTGCCCATCATCCCAGAAACTCCCCCTTTCCCAGCTTCTTGTTGTGTATGTGTTGTGTTTGTAAGGTAATCTCCCCAAATGTCTTAGGAATATTGGAGTTGAATTTATTGCTCCATTTGTTGAGCAAAAGTTTCTGTGCCAACTATCTATATGCCAAACTCTGTACTAGCATCTGATGATACAAAGCTGAATCGCTTATGCCCTTCAGCAGTCCAGCATAGAATTAAGTTTATTGACTATAAAGATGACCAATTTAAAAAAAAAAAAAACAACCAAACCCATTGCGGTCGAGTTGATTCCAACTCATAGCGACCCTGTAGGACAGAGTAGAACTGCTGCCCCATAGGGTTTCCAAGGAGCAGCTGGTGAACTCAAACTGCTGGCCTTTTGGTTAGCAGCTGAGCTCTTAACCACTGCGCCACCAAGGCTTCAGATGACGAATAGTTGTCTTTAAACATCCAGGAAGCTTGAGTGGAGAAGTGCATGCATCTTTGCAGGAATTAGAATTTTCAGTTCTACTTGATTTTTTTTTTTTTAAACAACGCTTTGGGTTGAAAAACGAGACTACTGTATTGTATTTTAAAGAAAATTGGCCTGTTTTGTGTGGTGAGAGAGAAGGGAAGGGGAGAGACTTTGATCAGTATATTTAACTCATAACTAGAGAACAGTTACGTGGAAGCAAGATCAAAGTGCCATACCAAGGGACATGGGAAGCACAGCTCTCCACCTGAGAAAATCCCCAGGGATAATGCAGCTCTGCTGTGTGATGTTTACTGTCTTCTGGTGAAGCTTGGCTGCTGAATTACATTAACCTTTTGCCTGTTCTCTCTTCTGTTACCTGAACTCTAGAAAAACCTCAAAATATTCAGCCTGTTAGAACAGGAGCCATATTTGGTTGCCTAGATGTGAGTGACATGGGGCTTTTCACCTCCTTATCACCGTAGCTCATGGGATCACTAGGAAGACACTAATTTCAGTATTCTAGCCCGTGGTTCTTGGCTTCCTGTGGGTGTGTGAACGATCCCCTCTCAAATGGCTCCTTAATTCATTGAGGAAACACAACAGTGTCAACATGTGCTAAACTTCGGTGCTGCATTTGGTTTGCATCTGCATTTTTCTCCCAGCCACTCACTCTTGTGCTTTCCAATCAATTTACTAGATTGACAGAATGGCAAATAGAAGATTAAATTGCTTTCATCCTTGCTTTTAAAGGTCAGAGAGGCATCAGTCTACAACAAAAGCATCTTTCCATTTAAGGGTTTCCATTTTGACGCTTCACATAATGGCTTCAAGGCCACATAATGAAATCCATTGGCTTAGAGCTCCCCCTTTAGGAAGAGCTGGGTAGCTGTAAGTCTAGCCAGGCAGGACCAGCATAGTTTCTGAATTGCCTGTACAAGCTGCAGCAACATGCCTCAGTTGGGGTAGATGTCTGTCCAAGAAACCATCTGGTGTCACCTTAAAGAGCTCTAAAAGTAAGTGATCAGTTGTTGTTCCTGGGTGCTGTCAACCCCTACTCATAGCGAACCCCATAGGACAGAGTAGAACTGCCCCATAGGGTTTCCTAGGCTGTGATCTTTACAGGAGCAGATCGCCAGCTCTTTTCTTTTGCGGAGCCACTGGTGGGTTCAAACTGCCGCCCTTTGTGTTAACAGATGAGCGCTTTAACCATTGCTCCACCAGGGCTCCTCAAGTGACCAGTCATGCTTTTTTTTTTTTTTAAGATGAACAGCTTTTGAGCTGTGGAAGACAGATGGTAAATGAGTCTTTCCTTTATCACCTCCTTAAAATCAGGTTTATAATTTTTGCCTGAGGATGAAATTTTGAAAGAACCATGTGATTTAGTTAAATGTAAGTAAAACAGCTCTGCTATTCACCACAACCATTTTTTAGTGTTGCTTCATTAAGTAAAATCCATGAATGATCCCATCCCCCAATCTACTTTTTAGCCAGTGATTTCAGACTCTTTTACCCATTTAATCTGATAAATGGTAAAAATTGACTGACACCCCCCGCCCCCTTTAGCAAAACTTCCTTGAGTGTCTGGCATTGTACAATTAGGGTTCTTAGAAAGAACCCTACAGTTAGTAAGTGCCTCGTGAAAAGTAGATCGAAAACTTGCTAGTGAAAATGTTTTCTTAAATTTTCTTTTAGCTTGGAGCACTCTGGACAAATTGTCAGGTCACCGAGGGTATAATACGTAGTCGGAAGGTGTTCTTACACTTCAGTGGTCAGTAAATACAGCACATTTTATCTGGCCAGCTGCTCTGCTGGACTGTGTGGAGCGTGCATCTTCAGCTGGTCTGGAAGTGTATGGGGTTGTCCCTCCTTCCCAGCCTGGTTGTTTTTAGTGACGAGGCCTCTCCTGACTCTGCTTCCAGGTGATGACGCATCTCCATGTGATTGAGGAAAGACGGAACCAGAGCCTCTCCCTGCTCTACAAAGTTCCTTACGTAGCCCAAGAGATCCAAGAGGAAATTGGTGGGTGCCCTGACCGTTGTGTCTGTGTCAAGGTCAGGCAGGGCTTCCCACTCGGGCGCAGTGGTGACGGTAGGGCAAGGTTAGAGGAAATGGGAACGAGTGGGGCGGGTAAGGTCGGGCCCTCACGACCACTGGTTCAGAGGCTGGAATTCCCCGGGCGCATGCACGGCCAGGCCAAGGAAGTAGCCTAGAGCAGAAGTACTGGGTGAGCCGTGCAGCCTTGACCTTCAGTCTTACCGTGTGAGGTGACGAGAGCCTGCGGCCGTTCTGTGCTGTGTTTTCCCCTTCCTTGCTGGTGTATTTCAGAGCACTGTAGTTGACATTCACTCCCATCTCTTCTCCCTCTTTTGGTCTTTATCTCCATTTGCGCATCAAATATTGATTGTGTCTGCTGTGCATCACAGAGTAAAATGAACAAGAGGGCAGTTTCTCACATGATGTGGGGCTCACATCCTAGTAGGAGGGGACAGATAGTAAGACAGGAAGCAGGTATCAGATGTGACAAGTGCCATGCAGAGAATTAAAAATAGGGTGGGGTGATGGGGAGCAGCTGGCGGTCAGGGAAGCTGCCTTTGGGGAGGGATAGTGCGAGAGCTGAGTGGTGGGCACGGGCTGTCCCTGCAGAGGTCACGAAGGGACCAGCACTGTCAGCAGAAGCAGCAGCCACCACAGAGGCCTGACGGTTAAGTCACGCTGCCACATTGGAGTAGCTCAGTGTGGCTAGAGCGTAGCCACGGGGAAACAGGGCCGAAGAAATGGGCAGGGGCCAAATCAGGTAGAGACTGGAGCAGAATCAAGGGGTGTCGACTTTATTCCCAGGTAACGGGAAGCCATTAGAGGGTTTTAAGCTGGGGAGTGACAGAGTTTAAAAAGACGTGAATTTTAAAAAGAGAATCACTTGGCTGCTGTGTGGAGTTGACTAAAATTGGCCACCAGCCAGAGGGAGTTTTAAAAATCCAGAAGAGATGATGGTCGTGTGGTGGAGGAGATGCAGAGATGTGGGCGGTCTCTGGGATGCGTTTCAGAGCAAGGGGAGCTTCATGTGCCGATGGCCTGGATGCGGAGGGGATGGGAAGGGAAAGCGTCAAGGATAGTGTTCAGGTTTCCATCTTGAGCCGGTGGGTG